CTGAGGCAGGAGAATGGCGTAAACCCGGGAGGCGGAGCTTGCAGTGAGCTGAGATCCGGCCACTGCACTCCAGCCTGGGCGACAGAGCGAGACTCCATCTCAAAAAAAAAAAAAAGAAGAGATTGAGGGTTGGGATTCTGTCTGAAAGAGATGGATAACAAAGGAGGGGTTGAGATGAGGGTCATGGGATCCAAGCTGGAGGGAAGAAAGCGTAGAGAGGCATGGGCAGGTAGACAGGAAAGCATAGCAGGGCAAATAACTGGACTGCAGGCTTTAATGAAGTAGGTGGAGCATATAGGGGCATATATGAAGGAGATAGGAGGGTCAGATACATACATACAGTAGAAAAAATGAGTGGAAAAAGTAGAAAGAGGTAACATGATCAGAGTAGGAAACTGAAGATTGAGATATTCAGACAAGAACTAGAATATAATCATGAGAACAGAAAAGTGATTGCAATGGAAGTAGCAAAGCTGGAATTGAGAAGTTATGTCCAGGAACCATGAGATTCAAGTGTCGATAGTTGAATAAGGCACACTGGGTTGAGGGGAAGATCTTGACCCCATGGTCATAGTTGGGACATCCTGAAGATCTTTCCCTGGGAAGTCGACATTTATGTCCTTATGCCTTCTGCTGTCTCCATGTTCTGGCATTCTGCCTTGATCACCCTCATTAATGGTACTATGCTTCAAGTTTAGTATCATCAGGGAAAGCTAGTTAATCAATGTTGCTCTAGTTAGGTAAGATGGCAACATGCAACTCTACATGAGCAAATGACTTCACCTGCCTTGACCAATGAAGCTCTGTCTTTTCTTTTAATACTCAGATCAGTTATTTGACAAGTAGATGTATTGATTCTTTGTTTATTTTTGTTTTATTGTTTTAATTTACTTGCCAAGGAACCCGATTCAATACAGGTGAACCTGTTTCCCTAAAGCCCTAGTAGTTAGTTTATACTCAGAGGAGACTATTCCTTCCCTAAAGGCATCTGGAATTTAAAATAGGGCAGTGCATTCAGTCATTCTCATCTTTCATAATCTCAGAAACATGATTTTCTGATCAATGCCCTCAACGCATGTTCTATTTCTTCTTTTTTTTCTCTCTCTCTTTTTTTGAGACTGAGTCTGGCTTGGTCGCCCAGGCTGGAGTGCAGTGCCCGGATCTCAGCTCACTGCAAGCACCGCCTCCCGGGTTCCCGCCATTCTCCTTCCTCAGCCTCCCGAATAGCTGGGACTATAGGCGCCCGCCACCACGCCCGGCGAATTTTTTGTATTTTCAGTAGAGATGGGGTTTCACTGTGTTAGCCAGGATGGTCTCGATCTCCTGACCTTGTGATCTGGCTGCCTCAGCCTCCCAAAGTCCTGGGATTACAGGCGTGAGCCACCGCGCCCGGCCTCAAGACATATTTTCTAAATCATCTTGGAAATGGGAACTTTGCACTCTGGATTGGCTTCCTTTTCCCAAGCCCCTTTGTGGTAGTAAGGTGCATATTTTGCACACCTGTGTCTTACATGAGGCTCCCAGACCTTCTAGAACTAGAAAAAGATCTGTAAAGGGGCATATATGAAGGAGATAGGAGGGTCAGATGACCAATGGCTCCCCCAGCATTCCTTCTTGGCTCCTTTTGGCCATTTGTTTATCCTTTACTGTGCTAAATATAGCCATTCTGGATGTATGGAAATGATAAAAATTATTATAATATCAATGTGTGTATATGTATATAATGCATGTGTGCTATTCCATACATATGTATATGTATGTGTGCTTAATCTTCCTTAAATTAAACCATGCATTATCACTTGACCCAAGGACAGCCCATGTTAAGCACTGAATGCCCTTTTGGGTTGCAAGTGCTCCAGTACCCCACTGTCTTGCACACTTGGTTTTCATCATGCATCATCAGTCCTTTTCTGAGCCATTGTAGTCTTAAACCTCTGAAGTGCATGAACACAGAAGCACGCTTCTGCCTACCTCTGGTGTTCAGCACCAGAAATTCTGCGTCTAACACCTGTTTTCAATCTTCTGCTCCATTTCTCAAATCTTATTATATCTCTGCCTTTTCACACTTTGTAGTCTCTCTCTAATATTTGTTTGCAAACACTAACTCATTTGTATTTCTATAATTACCGTGATTTTTTGTCTTCTTGTCTGTAGTGGCTCCCCCTTTTCTGGCAGCATCTCTGTAATTCCTGTTCTTCCATAAAATGGCACAACAGGAGAGATGATCTTTTAGTGTAAGCGGGACGGGGCAGGTTTTCTGGATGGTCAGGATAGAATTGTGTGTCCAGAGCCATAACGTTATCTTTCTCCTGAGATAAGGAGTCTCCAGATTCTTGACTTGACGGGCTCTAAGGATTCCCGGTCTGAAGTAGGAGTATGTTGTGCTCTGTGCTCTTTCATTCTACTTCACTATTTGGTAACATCAAGGTCTGACACAAGACATCTTAGAGGAATTTCTTTATCCACACAATCTGCCTTTGTAGTATGAGAAATTCTATTTCTCAGATAAGAAACGTAGGCAAAAATTTTGGAAAATGCCCAGGAAATATCAGGGAGAAAGTGTTTCCTGAAACCTCCTATACCGTGATACTTCTTTGCAGTTGTGGATCAAGGTTTGTCACACTAAGGTTCAGCATTGTGTATGCATTCTGTCAAATCTTTCTCTTTTTTTTTTTTATGTGATCATATAACTTATCTTAGATAATTCCCCTAAACTGAGTGTGTTCCAAAAGTAACTGCAGATCAGAACTTTAGGATATTATACACATTTCAATGAGGCAAAAAATTGTAGTGGCACAAAAGTCGTTCCATGCGCTTACAGGACAGGCATGGCTCTTCTCTGCTGGTGCTTGCATTCCTGTGACCTGCAGATACAAAGTCTATTCTTCCATTATCACTTATTTTAAAATATATGTTCTCAGAGGGCAGGGCTTTGTGCCTGAGTTTGTGTGTGTGTGTGTGTAGTGCCCCACGTTTTGCTCACTGTAGTAATTAAATATGACTCATGTACTAGGACACCAAGAAATGCTTTTGAAACAAAAAAGATACCTTTCAAATAATCAGCCTCTGGGGGAAGGCACTGTCCATCCGTCTAGATCCACTTTAGAACCTAAACACTGAAAAAACTATTCAGAGAATCCCAGAGAAGAGCCATTGTCTGCGAGTGGCATCTTCCGCCATCAAAGCCCCATGGAAGTCACGACAGACACTGCCCAGAGTCCAGACACGTACAGATGGTAGCTGTCAGGAGGTGACTCACACTACAGATTCCAGCATTTCACACAGCAAAGAGGATTTCATTTTTAGAGAATAGTCAGGGAGCTGTTCTTTAGTCCACTGACTACAAATTTAAAGGAATAGCTTATTATTTTAGCAATCTTGCTGACATGGAAAGAAGACGGAATACATTTGTATTGGTCAGTTGAATCCAGTCCTCAGAGACCACAACTAAATCAAAATTCCCATAGACTTCAAAGGGACAAATGGTTAAAATACTGACCAACTTTTTTTCAGTGACTTTGTAGCTTACCAAATGCCCCTCACTTGCAGATCCACTGATTTTGCTCTCAGAATATTTTACTTGTAGTGAGATTCCTTTTGTTTCCCTATTTTAATCACAAATAGTCCTTGATATTGATTTGCTAGATAAAAGGAGAGAGCAAGAATGAGATCTGAAAAATGGGCCCACAGAGAGAGGCATTTGAGAGAGGACTGCTGAATACAAATCCAGAACAAAGTTATTTAGCGAAATGCCAAAGTGGTCATTCATCCAAACTGGCACATCCTAGTAGAAGCTATCTTTAATGCGGTATTGCCAGGCGTTGTCATAAATATCACGGGTTAGAAATTTCTGTGTGCATGGAATAAGGATATGTTCCTGCTAGGATGCAGCAATATTTTTATCATCACCACACAATATTTATTAAAGTTCTCTCAGTACACACGCCACGGTAGAAGGCAGTATCTTTACGATAAGCACAATAGGTTAATGAGTAAAAAGTCAAAAGCACCCTGAAAAGCGAAAATGAAAGACAAATGACATCTAATGAGTTAACGTTTTTCACAGGGTGCGTCTCCTGGTGGAGGAGGGTTATGAAGATCGAATTCTGGTAGCACATGACATACATACGAAAACCCGGCTGATGAAATATGGAGGTCATGGCTATTCTCATATACTCACCAACGTTGTTCCTAAAATGTTACTGAGAGGTATAACTGAGAATGTGCTCGATAAGATTCTAATAGAGAACCCTAAGCAATGGCTAACTTTCAAATAGGATGGTTGCTTATGAATTCGCACCTTGCGTGTAAAACTGGCGGAGAACATTCAGCGATTTCCAGTCCACTGAGAGCTATTAATCAGTTACCTAGGACTAATGACGGATCATTTCCTTCTGACGAGAAGTAGGAGGGTTTGCCTTCTCTGAGACCAGCTATTACACCTGTGCCTCTAGGGAGTTACTCAGCCTAATTGAGCCCTATTATTTTGCCTGAACAAAATAAATACAGAAGTACCTATTTCTAAACAATGATTTAAAGTCTATATCCCCTAAGCTGAGTTGTTGTTTTTCTCCCTAATCTACCAGCTGCACTACTTCAGAAAATGTAAAGTGTTTCTAGTTGAATTATTCCCTTCTTGAGCGATCTAATGTTTCTTGTAATATTGATGATCCTACTAATTATCCTGCTGTTCTTTAATTAATGCTTAATGAATAATATGGCACTTTAAAATAGCTTCTTCAACAAGGGAAGTTAAATTTTGAGACTTTTTCCCCAAAGGATACTGACTGTAATACGATTACCAATTCACAATGATAAAAATATTTTGAAAGGTTAATTTTATGCTGTCCACCTATCTATATATTCTTCTAATAAAATGGTTTTGATATCTTTGGCTTTCTGGTATCTATTTTTGCCGTAAATTTTGCTGTTTTGCAACCTTTGTATAAGAACACATAACACTACTGAATTATAAAAATTCAATCATAAAAGTCAAAATATATTACATAATATAGTTTAATGAATCATTACATTTATAATAACAAAGGCCACAATTTAATTAACTGATAAGATATAATGCAAAAAAAAGGAGAAATGTTTGCCTTATATATATTCCCTTTATTTCCTTTACCGTGTGTTTTTCCTTGGACCTAAACAGAGAAAATAATGCTTATTTATCTGAAGAAAAGGTCAGATCTATTGGAAATGACAGCCTGATACTAGAGCCTCCTCTTTAAAAGGTATCCAGCCCTGATATTTTGTGTAAATAAAGCATTTTTTAAAACTCTTAGTTAAAACACTTAGGTGATGGCCACTGCTGCTTATAAATTCATCTTTTGGTTGAATCTTCACTATGCTATTTGGCACCTAAAAATATTCTCCAAACCCTTGCTGCCAATTCCTCTTTGATAAATATATAGTTAATTCGAAATAAAATCCATTGTGATTCATTTATGAGTTATCTTACATATCACAAAGGCCAATTAGAATTTGTCCTTATTCTTGATGAAAAGTTTGTTTTTAATCATAAAAATCATGACAGTTACTCAGACGCAGGCATTTCAACAGAGCTAACACCACCTTCAGATAGGCACACCATGCATAACTCTTGGGAAGTTGAGCTTTGCTAAATAAAAGATATTTTGGCTGATCAGAGATGTTCAAGCTTTCTGTGTATTGGAACAGAAAGTAACAAAGAAGAATGAGCCAGGAGAACAAATTAATTCCTTTAAATAAAAAAAATGCAAGTGTCCTTCACCAGTAAAGGAAGCAAATTTTTAAAATTTCTGTTTTTGAAATCTACTTGTCAAAGAGTTTTCAAAGGCAATGAAAGGGGAACAGATTTTTCATTGTAATAGTGGAAGTTATGTGATAGTTAGGAGATATCAACATGCATTTTTAATCTTTTCCTTAGATGAAAGAGATGGCTTTTGGCAGTGTGTTCTAACCAGCAAGAAAAGATTTGTATTACTCTCCAAATCTACTGTACTGTCAGCTTCAGTCCACCTGAGAAAAAAGAAAAAAAATTGATAGCTCAAATGCGTATAATTCATAAACACTGCAAAGGAGAGCCACTTGGTGTCTGCAGTCCTCATATTAACAATCTGTCACAGAATGCAGTTAAAGTATTGATTGGCATATGGTAATACAACAACCATAGCCTTAACTTACAGACCTGTAAAATAAAGGGCATTTTTACCTAATACAATTAATTTTCTAGATAACTCTTAAAGAGAAGTTGTTTTAACTGTTTTTGCTACTCCATATATTGTCATTCAAAATATATTTTAACCCAAAATAAGTTAAATAATTTATGCATGTTTGTCTGTGTATATATGCATATACTTCTTTATATTAAAATTTTGAGGCTATACAGCCACTGTGCCCTATGGAATAAAGCCATATATATATGTTTTATATGTATATGTTTTACATGTATATAAAACATTTCATCTAACATATATATGTGTGTGTGAGTATATGTATGCATGTTTAGCAGATATTTGTATAAAATATAAACACTGTTGTCATATTGGTTATATGTGAAATTGTTAATTTTGAAATAACCTCAGGCCACAGACTTGTAGTAACCGTTTGAAGGCCTCACCTAGTGTCCCCTTGGTGACGTATGCAGCAGCTCAAATTAAACCTTTGTGCATTGGGTTATGAATAATCTTTTGTTCCAAAGATGGCAAAAGCCTCGGCTTGATTTGATACTAAAGAATAAATTTCTCTGACTTTCCCAGTGAATCTAAATGTATTCAGTTGACAAAATGGACACATAAGGGCTTTTTCTAAATACCGTACATAATTACACATTTTCACACTTAGAGGGTAATCCTATGATACACTGTCAATCTCTATTTTTAAAGACTATCACCAGAAAAGAGAGAAAAGAAAATTCATATAAGAAAAAGAAAATGTGAAAATGATCATAGGCTTGGGAATTCCCTCAAATCCAGAAAATTCCAGGTTAAGGCTTGAAGTAGAATCATTCCCAGGTCTAGCTCTAAAGTTAACAAGAGTACAAGGCAAACAATTTCTTTGGGGACAAGCAGCATTATTTCAATTAGACCTTCTCCTGCAGGGTAAAAATCATTCTTCCCCACGCTATGAATGGACTCCAAGTATCATAATAAGCAGGTAAACTCACAAGAACCAAAGCCGACATATGGATAAAAGCAGCAAGATCACAGTACACCAAAGTATCATATATATTGAAGAAATAATTCAATGTCTTAGATTTGTCTATAAAAATTTGTGATCTATATAGGACTTCATTCACATGGACACTAACGATAAGGAGTATTTGCTTTGGCGGTAGTGGATCACACATCTGCTTATCTTGCTTTGATATTTTTTACATAATGTTTCTGAGTGATACAGATGTGAGTCAGGTAGCATTTGATTTCCCCACATATACACAACCGAGGTGCCCTGCCATTGGCATCCCCTGGGATCCTTGATTCACTGACGTTAGCCATACGCATCCAGTGTTCAAACTCAGAATGATAAGCTTAGTCTCTGCATTATCAGTCAGCGTAAATAATAAATCCAGAAAACGTGCTGTATTTGTTGTTGTTCCCTCCATGGGCTTTCCCGCCATCTAATTTGATATAGACTTCGTCTCCCGGCTCCAAATGAAGAACCACACTGTTACTGGCATAGTCGTAATTCTGATCAGCATCCTGGGCAATTGCACTAGCACGCACCTATGTGAAACAGACAAGAATTAGGATGCGTAAATGAGAATTCTCAAGTTTTCTTTTTGCCATTCATGCAGCATCACAAGCTGACTTGCTGCCATAGCACAGAATTTAGCGTAGGAAAGTCCCTGTTGACCTCAGAGCTTTATGAGAATAGTGCTGTGGCAGTTTCAGCTACATTGGTGAGGAGGAGGACAGAAAGGGACAAAATAGTGCTTCAGTGGGGACGATTCTGGCAGTCTTCTCTAACTCCACATTCTAAACTATGCATACAATTTGTCATCTTCCTGTATCACTTGTTTTTCTAACTCCTTCAATCCCTATGCCCAATCACATTTTGAAATGAAACTAATAGTATTTTTTTGTGTTTTAGTTTAAGCCAAATAGCAATATTCTAATCAGCTGTTTATGAGTACAGAAGTTCAAGTCTTAAGTTCAGCTGTTCACCACAATTATTAGAAAACTGAGGTATGTAATAGCTAAAAATACCCAGGAAAATACCAACTCCTCTACTACTTACAAAGAAAAAAAGGAAAAAGTCTTTTGATTTAGGGCTTTCCAAATCTAATTCATGTAAAGCCCCCTTTACCAGGCTGCTTCACAAGCTCATTTATACGTCTTTGATTATATCACCCAAGTTTTCAGAGCTCCTTTTTCCATCGTGTCTTTTTATTACTTAACTATGACATGTGCATTTAAATCAACAATTTAACCTCAACATATCTAAAACTTAAAGAAGGGACTAAATTTTCATGTTCTGAGGCCTCTCACGTTTCAAGAATTTTTGAATGATTTCATTGAATATCCACTTACACTTAGGAGATTCTAAATATGTGGCTTGATTTGAGGACAGAGGCTGCTTATAATCTGCCCATGGTAAGCCTGTGATCTCATTAGTGAGTTGATAGACATTTACAAACAGTCAAATTGCTTATCTCATGCATTGTGGACATTCTGTCAGATCCTTAGCTCAAATTAGGCTTCATGTTCATTTAGATATATTTTGATTCTGCCTTGGAAAATCTTTCAACAGGCAGACTTAGATTTGATTTATTTCAGTAAAGCAACTACTTTGTGGCTTGTTTCATTTCTATTCCACTATAATGATATTTCCCTGAATAACATAGCAAGTGATTTAGTGGTTTTGTAAACCTGCACTATGTAATAATGCATGATTTGGGGTACAATATGCTGGATTTTATCACTTGGAAAAATGAGAGAAATGAGACAGAAGTTCAGAATTTCCAAAATTTAAATGATGGGTTTTCCAATTAAATTTTCATGTGATATGTTCTCACATTAATGCTGAAACGTTAAAAAAAGGAGAAGGCTCTTTAACACTGCTGAACCTGTAAAGTCATTTGAGTAGTATCTTTAAAATGTCTTTCTGGGTATCATATAGCAAAAGGAGAAAATGACCTAAAGGATTTAGAATTGCTTAGCACTGTACTAACAGGCACTAATATAATGAAAGCAATATACCATGTAATTATGCTTGGAAGCCTTGACTCCAAAGTATATGCCAATTTAGTAAAGTGGTCCGTTTTGACCATTAAATAATAATGCAGTTTGACTTCATAATATTTTCTAAAAATTAATCATGAGTTTGTAGGAGTTGAATGCTTTGATTCATTTATTTCATCTACCCATTAATTCCCAGGGAAACAAATCTACAAGAAGGATATTGGTATTATGACTTGTGTTTTTTCTCATCTGTGGATTTTTAATGGGTGAAAAAATTTAAAAACAAAATATTAATAAGCTATATTAGTAATACATTAGTTATCAACCCATAATATACTCCTCAGCTATTACTAAAAACCAGACACATTTTATTCAGTGCTTTGGGTGTTTAGGACATATTCTATGGTTATTGGGCTTTAACATGGTTTTCTACATGAAGGTATTGGAGAAACAGGACATACTAAAATTATGTGATTTAGACACAATAATCCTTTTAAAAATATAATGCCATTTTTATTCTCCAGGGTGTAACCACAAAACCAAGTAAACATCACCATTTTCATTCAGCAGGTGTAACCACAAAAACCTACGAATGCATTAGAGTGATTGCACAGACTGAAAGGTTACCCTCACAGTTTCCACCACCTTTGTTGGATCAAGCCAGTGTGGTTGCTCTTTAATGAAGGTAATTCTCTAAGATTTTAACCTATACTGTACCGTAAGACCATCTCAATTAAATAATTGCCATACTCCAGTGTACTTGGCATGATTTTGGTATGCCTGCTCACCTGATCATACTCTAAAGATATAACAGGACTTGAAATTTCAAGCTCTAGTATCCAGCTCAGTGACTTCAACAATTCTTTCAAGCCATCAAACTGTTGAGGAAGGTAATGTGTTCACCCTGGAGGCTATTTCCAGATTCCTAAATGTACACTGATTTCAGCATTCTGTCTGGGAATACAATCCATCCTTTCTTCAGCGCAATCGACCGATTTCTACCTAAATTTACTCTAATATCTTTTCTTATTACAAGATAACTGTTTAGATTCTGCTTTATCTTTAGTTCATATTTCTTTAACCCTAAAAAGATTATTAATTTGACATGTCATTGATCTCTCTAATAAGTGAATACCAACCCACAAACCACTCATCCTTTTAAAAATATTTCATGTGCATCAGTGCCATAACTAATAAATTTTTAAGAGTACCAACTGGTCTTTAATTATTTTATGCTTTTAACCCTGAAACAGTTTTAGTTTTCATTACAGTGGCTTATTTATTATAGTGGCATTAGAGTGATTGTATTCAAATAGCAATTTTTCTTCATGTTTTCTGCTAAGAGGATTACAAACATTAAAGAGATTTCCTCCTTTCAAATGTAAAGCTATTTGAGTCGAACTTTTACCTTTAATATGCACTGTCATGGGCTTTCAACAAATGGTAGAATTAAATTTAGGTTGATGGCTTCATGGAGAGTATGAGAGCTGCGGTCCTTTTAGGGGTATGTTTCTGTGTCTGCAATAGGTTGTGTAGTTTTAGCATTATCTTATTAGTGAGGATCTATCATTAGAGATAATATTTATGGTGACATTTGTAATTTAATTAATTGCCACTGATGTTCTCATAATTTCATTTTCATTGTACTTCTGTGGAATCATAAACAAAAGGTTAAGTGGCACGTCAGGTTCATTTACCAGTCTTTGATGTTTCCATCTGTGATCTTACATTCTACACAAAGCATAAATAAAATGGCTCTCATACGGTTATGGTCCAGAAGCATTTCTCTCTCTTAGTTTAATTTTTAGTTTAATTTTTGTGCTTCTCAAAATCCACTTAATCCATAGAACGTTACGCTGACATGGATCTCTGAGTTTCTGTTTTATGAAAACAAATTAGGTCAGCTCAGAGAGGGAGCCTGCCATTCTAAGAAGTGATCAGACCCAGAATATAATCGAAAAGAAAGAGTGAAGTGTTATTTAAAATTAATGAAAAGATTTTATAAGATTTCTCATTTGTAACTGCCTGCAGACTGGACTTGACAAAATAGTTCTAGTCTAGAGATAAAATTCCTTAGCGGTAGTAGTGTAGTAACCATTTTCCAAAATAGTCCACACGGAACTAAGAAAACAATGTTGTTTACCACTATAGATTTATTTTTCTGAATTACCTGTTGCATACCTTTTGCAGAAGCAGCAGCTTAATATTACCAATGAAAAGCATTATGCATTATAAGGTCAGCTGTTTTACCTTATTCTTTTTCCTGATCTTCATGGAATGTGTGTGCTAGCATGATACAAAGGAAGATTTTACACCCCAAACAATGAAATAATTTTAAAAACAAAATGCACATAGAACACCTACTTGGTGTTATTTTCTTGGAATCAGTGTAATATACACAGGCTCAGCAGTCTAGACGTTAACATTTAAACTAATTTAAATGTATTAATCCCTGCTTTTTTCATGCAATTTCCAGATATTTAAAGATATGAGCATTTTTATACATTTGCTGATAAAATTGGAATCTTTTCATTTTAATTGATACCTCTAAAAATCATCTCTTCAGCCCGATTGTATTTTCCAGACCTGACCTTTGAGTCAGAAGAGAGCCAATTTGCAAATAAAGGGGTGTCTCATGGCTGCCTGCTGAGGGGCTGTTCATAAGCCTTTTTGTGAGGGTGATTCAATAGCTCCATTCTGGTGCAGTGAGTCATGCCCGTTTTAGCCATTTGCCTATAACTGTTTTACTGCCCTGTGAATAATTTTTATTTATCTTAATATTATTTTCATGCATAACAACTGTAATAAACAACCCTGTCAGTGCCTCCTGGTGGCCATTTTTCCTCTTTTTGTTCTATGTGTCCTGAGGGTCCCTTAGCTATTTGTAGGATAGGGTAGGGAACAGGACGTTTTCTGTCTTTCTCTCTTACGCATTTAAGACATCTTTTTTGTTTGTTTGGTCTTTCACTTTTGAAAGAATCCTGACCCTGAATTAGGTCTTCCGAATCCTGCTTGAATGGTGCTTAACAGAAACCTGGGTGATAGCTAAGAATCTCTGAATGTCCAGGGGGCGAGTTACCTAAAGCCCAATATACCTCGTTTAAGTCAAAGTTGCAGCAGGAGAGGAGGTCTCTTGATGGCGATGCCAGGGTCGCGGGCCATCCCCTATGCCACTCAGTAAGCAAAGTTAAAACCCAGAAACTCAGCCCCAACCGCAGGCTACAGGCTGCAAGGCCTCGCCCCAGTGGCTACTGATTCAGCGTGCACAGAAGGTCCCATTACACTTTTAGATAGTTGCAAATATTATTTTCCTCCTCTGACTAAAAGATCAAACAAGCTTCGGTTTTACAGTGACCTCGAATTTCTCCACAGTAAAGTGGCCCCAGCAGAATACTGCAGACCCATGCGTAGCCCTTGCAGCGGCGCCGACTGGCTCAGGGAATCAAATCCTCTTGGCCGGCTGGTCCAGAGGCTGATAGACTCGAGGCTGGGCTCGAACCGGTCGCCCCCGCAAGCCACCTGCCCGAGCGTCCTCTGACTCCATAGAGAGTTTGGGTTCTGAGTCTAGCTGCGCGCTGTGTTTCACTGCATGAACCCCCGAATCTCAACTATTTTTTTTTTTTTTTTGTTATCAGCACGCCTTGCCTCTCCCCTCCGCTATTTTTTGGCTGAAAACGAAACTGGAGTTTGCGCCTTGAAATTGACTATATGTGAGTTTCACGGCCTGGGACGCCGCAAGGACTTGGCGACCGCGGGCCCCACAGTCGCTCCTCCGTTGTGGCTGCGCCCGGCTTGGACTCACTCCTTCGGGGCCCTTGTTTCTCCCTCGGGCCTTTGTCTACCACCTCCGAGTCGGTCACCCTGCCACGCCCATTCCGGACTCCCCCAGCCCTCTCTACTCCCCAGAAAGCCCGTAAGCGACCAGCGCACGAGCTGTCCCGGGAACCCAGCTCCCGACTTCCCGCCCCTCGAGGGTTGCGCTCGCAGGCGCGCGCACCGATCGAAGGTCCCAGACTCCGGAACCGCCCTCTCCAGGCCGCTGGGCGCCCTCCTGCGCGCACGACCCCCGCCTCTCCAGCGTGGGACGGCGTCCCCCCTCGCCGTCGCTCCGGGAAGCCCGGCCGCCGCGCCCTTCCTCCTCGGGCTCCCACCCCCATTTCCGGGGTCTCCTCCCTCTCTCCCGCACCTTCCCGCGCTCCCTCCCCGCCCTCCCCGCCGCCCGCTGGCGTTCACCTGGTTGTTTTTGCAGAGATCAGCCCACATGCTGGTGCCGTCCCCTCCGCGCATCAGGACGTGGTAGGTGAAGAAGTAGATGCCCGGGATGGAGCAGGTGAACTTGCCGGTGGTGGGGTCGTAGTGGTTTCCGAGGTTGGTGACCACGTCGTCGAACTTGAGCACCTCGTAGCCTTCGTGCTGCCGCTTGAGGCCGGCGTAGAAGGCGATCTTGGGCACCGTGCTGTAGGTGGCGGCGCTGATGGCCCCGGCCGCGTTCAGGCCGGGCGCCCCGGGCGGGCCCGGCAGGCCTTGGCGGCCCGGCTCGCCCTTCTCGCCCGGGGGCCCCATGGGGCCCGGCGGCCCGGGCTCTCCGGGGGGCCCGCGCGGACCCGCCTTCCCGGGTCGGCCGGCCTCGCCTTTGGGGCCCTGGATGAAGGTGGGCAGGGACTGCATGAGGCCGCGGTCGGGCGTGGCAGCGGTGCTGGGCGCCTTGGTGCCCCCGTAGGGGTCGCAGACCATGCGGCAGGTGCCCAGCATCTCGTAGTGCGCCGACGTGCCGGCCGAGCTCACCAGCACCGGGATGAGGATCACCAGCAGCAGCACCATCACCACCCCCAGCGCCCCGGCGGCGATCAGGCGCCTCCTGCTGCCCACCAGCCGGCTCAGCGCGGGGCGATCCTCTTGTCTGCTTTTGGACAGAATTTTGAAGGTTGGGCGGGGACCTCTTCAGAGCCGAAAACAACCCCCTGCGAACCCCAACTCCCCTGGGCGGGCGGGCGCCGGCCGCTGCTGCCGACTCCTGCTCCCCCCGCGGAGGCTGCGGCTGGGGAGGGAGCGCGGGCGCCCAGTGACTTGAGCCGAAGTCCCGAGCCTGGGGTGGGGGTCGGGGGAGGGGTGCGCGGGGCGCCCTCGCCTCCCGCGAGCTCCTTCGCACCTGTGGCTGCAGCGGGCTCCGGCGCGGCCACTGGGAGGGCAGAGCCAGCCGCCGCCTCCTGCGCTCGCCCGGGCCGCTCACACTTTTATGCCGCCGCCGCCTGCGATCGACTTTTCCGTTTTTGCAGACTGCGCCAGTTCGCACCAACTTTCCGTCTGAAGTTGCCTTTTTCTGCCTCCTCCTCCTCTTCTTTCGCTCGCTCAGTTCGCCCGTCCGCTGCCTTTTTTTTTTTAATTGCCTCCTTTCTCTCTTCCTCCTTTGCCACCACCACAACTCGAATAGACGCGCACCCCAAAGCCCCGCGTGGGCCCGGGCGTCCCCCGGGTGCGCCCAGCGGCGGCGGCGGCGGGCACTGTCGGCTCGGCGAGGCTCGGGGCTGGGGTGGAGGAGCGAGCGAGCAGCGGCGAGCGCCTCACGGCCGGGAGCGGAGCGAGAGAGAGACTGAAGGCAGAATTCTGCCTGGGTACCACCTGCCAGGAGAAGAGGAGGCTGACAAACGCGCGCCGGAGCAATTTATAGGCACCCAAGGCACAGAGGAAGGGGAGCCGCTTTGGCATCTCATTGCAGCATCTGCTCTGCTCATCCCACTCAGAGAGAGTTTGGCATTACTCTGACAATGTGGGATTTTTTTTTTTTCGGCCTCTCTTTTTTTCTCTCTCTGCACATGGATGAACAGTGAGATTCTGAATACTCCCTTGCTGAACCAAGCGATGGCAGGTCCTGCTGCACCCACCTGGGGGAGAGAGACAGCTGTGCGACAGCTTTCAGGGCTCAAGGGTCACACCTAAGTCCCAGATTTCCCCACTGCCAGCAGCCCCAGTTGGAGGGTGGAGGTGAAGGTTGAAAGGAGGGTGGCTGAGTTGACAATGTTTCTTTGCTGGCTCCTCTACAATCAGTGCTTCAGGTGTTTCTCAAAATGCCACTTTTAACAGAAGGAGGGCCTTTTAGAATTTTCCAGATGGTAGATGTGATTTTCTTTTAACCTGATGGTTTTCCTCCTCTGCCTTCTAAATGAATAAGATGTTACCCCAAGAACAGCGAGGTATGTTGAAAAGCCAAATAACATTTCTGAATGATTTAAAATGAACATGTCCACCGCATCTGGGGGAGGGGGGGGTTGGTCCTTTTTACAAATGCTGCACCGTGGTGAGTGCATACATATGTACTCTACTTACAGGCTTACAGTTCTAGCAATCTTTCAGGGGATACTGCCAATGGACCTGAAGTTGCATTTACTTAAAGTCGCTAAATGTACGAGAAATAATCACTTGTCAAAATGCCGTCAAAAGATCAAGCAAGGAGCATTTACACAAGTGCTGGGCAACGTCTTTTCCTAGGATATGGAAAGAGTTCTTACAAGCTCCATAGCAGATTTCCCAAATGTACATTGAGGGAGGGAAGAAATAGGAGAAATACAAGAAACAAGAGCCTCCATTCTTAGTGGGTGAGCTGCAGAAAGAACAGGATGGTTTATCATATTACTGGAAAGCTCCCAGTAGATATTAGGCAAGTCATCCCACCAACAAATACATAAGACACACAAGAATGGCTTTAAATAAATAAGTAGAATTGATTCCTAAATCATACTTCTGCATTCAGGAGCAACAGATGTCAATCAAACGTAGGTGACATTTGCTTGTCAATACGAGGATGATGGCTGGGAAGACGGTGACTTATTACATCAGGGTGAGAATGTGAAATGAGAAGCAGGAACAAATAAGACTCCAGCAAGCAAACAATAACATCCTGGGTGATGATCAAGCAGCCTGTGATCTAGTCTGCGGGTGTCACAGCATGGACTTCTCCTTTCCTCCCTGTGCCTCAACCTCCCCGCCCCCTAGCCTACTCCAGTCCCCCCCACCAATTTAATTCTTTTTTTTCTTCTTCTCTGTTTCACAACAAAATAAGGTCAAATGAGCAGACAGAAGGAAACAAAGATTCATTGATTCTTTTAAGAGAAATGTCAGTAGCTCCTTCAAGCCTTGCCTGGGAGAATCAACCCTAAGAGGTGTGCTGTGTGGCCCAGTGGGGTGGGGGTCTCCACCTCCTGGTTACTGACAGGGCCACACTGCTCCTGGAATTGGAAAACAGTCCTTCCCACTTCTCAAGCCTTTAACTTTTATTTTAGGGTAGTGGTTTTATAAATGTGCGCCTATTGCTTGGGCATAATTGTACACATATTTCCATAATAGTTTCGTTCACATGAGCTGCCTTATTTTCAAATTTTTAAGCAGCAAACACATAATAAGTTCTCTCCTGGCCACAATATTTACTTTCCTAACACCCTCTGGATTGCTTCTTAAAAGTCACCTTCCTTTTGGAGGACAAAATGGTGAGGTTTGCTGCCAGCACTGGCGGGGGGGAGGGGGGGCGGGTAGGATATTAAAACTCTGATGCACCAAATTATCAAATTTCATAAGGCCTCTCTATTGCTATGAAGAGTTCTGTAGGTGACACAAAAGGAGTTTTTTAAAGGTAGAGATTCATGGAGAAGTTCTCATCAAAACCTCAAGCTATGTGGAGTTTTCCCATTGACTAATGCTTAAGATATATTAGAGTCAAATGCTCATAAAATGTTCATCAATGCTCATAAAATATTACAGTTGAAATAGACCCTCTGTTCATGCAGATGATGAGACCGAAATGAGCTTCCAGGAGGATCAGCACCATTCAACGGGCTTGCTGCTTGCACTCCCCTCTGCACAATATGGATACATCCCATCCCAGCCTGAGACTGGTCATACTAGTTCTAGTAACTGAGGCTTTCCTCCTTCTACTTTCTCTGACGCCAAAGCAAATTTGATTTTGCAAGTGAGTGCCCTCACATTTTACAGCTTTGCTAAGATTTAGAAAGGCACTCAGCAGTCATCATTCATGACAAAAGCATTCCCTCCCAGGCCACATGGCTGACCCCAGACTTTCTATTAACTGCACAAGCCTGGGCAACGCATGGATATTTGGCTTTGTAGTGAAGCAGATTTAAATTCTTGGTCTCCTTCCTCTCCTCTAGAAGTGTCTCGCTGTGCACTTTGGGGGAACATTTTGGTTCCCTCATGATTTTCAAGGACGACTTGGTAGTAAACGAACTTATGGCTGGTTTTTACCACTTTCTACTGTTGAATTTCCCAGAAGGTTCTCTGCAAAGCTACTCACGCTTCAGCTCTTGTTCCGACAGTTTGGATAAACCATCTGATATGGCATATTACTCATCATCTTTATATGTATATAATAATAGAAAACGTGTCAATTAAAAAAATATTTGATTTTCTTCAGTCCTCATTAGAGAACCAAGTTTTCTCTCATATTTGATAAGAATCTTGGAAGTGTGCCCTGGAATCTCAGTTCTGCAGCATCTCCCAACCGTCTCTCAAGTAAACACCAGGCTCCCTACTCCCAGTTCCACCTGTACCTGGGCCTTGCAGACCCTCCGGACGATGAAGCCCGATCCAGAAAGCCGTGATCGAAGTTGGATCACAATCCTGTGATTTTCATCTTTCCCACATCATTTCTGTTGCTTTCAGAAAGCTGAGCAGATCCTAAGCACACGACTCCCACACAGACGTGCACGGCCATCCATTAATCATTATTGAGTATCTACGGACAGCACAGCCCTACGCTGGGCTCTTACCAGGCAAACAAATATTTAGTCATGAAAATGATTTCCAAATCCAGCAGCACTTAAGCAGAAATAGCATTTCTTAGAACAGGAAAAAAATAAAACAAATTAACAAACCCAAGGACTGTCTAGAGAATCAGACATAAAAAATACAAAAAAAAAAAAAAATTGGAACTAGATCTACTATTTATCTTTAATTTTGTGGTCTCCAAATTGCATTTCAGAACATATACTCCTTTGACTGAAGAATTGTACATTTCTAACTAGAAAGGGTCTGCCTGGAGTTATGTAGGGAAGCCGTATGTCCTGATGGCTTTGGAATCAGATGGGTCTTAATTTGAATCCTAGCTTCCTCATTTAGGAGCTGTGAAAGTTACTTAATCTCCCAGAGGCTCAATTTCCTTTCCTGTAAAGTGGAAATAACACTAATACCTAAATTATAGGGTTGTTGTGAAGATTAAGTGAGTTAATGCGTATAATTATAATGGTACCCAATTTATAATAAGAGCCCAATAACTGCCAACTGTCAACTTAGCATATTGTAGGACTACTGAGTAGTGTATGCCTATGAATTGAGTGGAAGAATGCAAGGCTTAGTAAAGGAAGCTGAAACCAAAGGGACTGACTTAAGACAAGTGGCATAAAATGAACAGTAAGTATGATAGACTTGGATAAAACTGACGGGAACACGAAAGTTCTCTAGGAGAGTTGCCGAGGTGTACTCTCCTGTAATATCAAGCAAAACAAAACTCAAAACAAGGATCACATTACCCTTCTCCAAAGTAAGAAGACAAAGTTTTATATCAAGGTCATTTGAATTCATTGTACTTTGATAGCCCAAGTTTTCAGATGTAAGACTTAGTTGGATGTATTAACGTGTGTTTTTTTGTCCTCTAGGAATTCCCCAAGTCAACAAGTTGCAAGTGTATTTAAAAATTATTGTGGTCGTTATTAAGGAACCGTTTCTGTGGATAACAATTCTCAAAGAAGCAAACATACCTTTGTTTTGTTGTTTGTTGTTTTTTTGGGTTTGTTTTATTTATTTATTTATTTTTTTGACACAGGGTCCCACTCCATCCCTCAGGATGGAGTGCAGTGGCACAATCTCGGCTCACTGCAACCTCTGCCTCCCAGGTTCAAGGGATTCTCATGCCTCAGTCTCCTGAATAGCTGGGATTACAGGCATGCACCCCCCGTACCAGCTAATTTTTGTGTGTATATATAATTTTTTTTTAAGTTGAGACAGAGTTTTGCAATGTTGCCCAGCCTGGTCTCGAACTCCTGGCCTCAAATTATCCACCTGCCTCGGTCTCCCTAAGTGTTGGGATTAGAGGAGTGAGCCACTGTGCCCGGCCCTGCTTTGTACATGAACTAGAAGAGCAGTCCCTCTGAAAGACACCTAAGTCATAGTCACAACTGTAGGGAATTTTCAACACGAAACTTTCCATAGAAGGCAATTTGGAAAGCTAGCTTGGCAGGTGTATTGTCAAAAATTATTGAACCGCCAAATGGAGATGGTTACCAGCACGTTACATAAGACTCAGTGTACAATGTATGGCTTCATATTGGTCCATACTTCTATCAGTCAGGAGAAGGATGAAATCTCAAGTATGGATGTGACACTTTATACCTGCCATGGGTAGAATGTTCAATCCGTATGAACTTACTTGATGTAGAATTAAAGGAAAAGTTACCAAGAATGAGATCTGAGAGCTTAGCAAGTCCTCCTAAGCTATGGCCATGATAACTCATCATACAAGGAAAATAAGTGAATTCAAAGAACTAAAAGCAGCTGCCATTAGATTACAGGGAACTTTCAAACAAAAGATACATCATAGGAAGTCAGGTGAGAAGCTGTCAACCGGGCAGGCAGTGATAAGAATCGTAGTTGTCTTATTGTACTGTTTTGTTTTGTTCAAAAAACCTAAAGCATCATGCATTTTGAAATCAGAGTTTGCAGAGAACCCCCAACAGAGCCAGGACGTGCCAAGAGCGACTGATATTTCCAGAATCTGAATCTGGCTCTTGAAGTAGTAAGGCCGGAGGAGACATGAACATCAAGAGAAAGTGTATTCAGCTCCATTCCTATGTGAATGTAGCTTCAGAGCAAGTCACCTTCAACGAGGAGCAGCACATCCTGTAAACAAATACCGTGCCCCTTGGGTACTTATGTGCAAACAGACATATCAGCTTTTCCCTAATGCAGGCAGTCTCTTGGGGGTAGTTCTATAACATGTAAAAATAGATATAATTTGAAACCATAATCCTGAGAGTAAACTGTGAAGGTATTTTAGATTTGTAATAAGTTGCAGGAGGAGAAGAGAGAAGACAAACGTAACCTATCGTAAGTGGCTGTATGTTCCATATAAGTAATTGTATCCCTCAGGGGTTCCCATTGAAAGTAGCTGTAATAATTCATGCTTTAATTCATTAATCAGTAATTTAGTCTCCGGCTCTGGAAAGTGGAAAAAGTCCATAAAAGTTGGTCCCACTTAGATGGAAATTTGGAGTTTTCGTTTTTCCCGAATTAGTCAACGTACAAGTAGAAATCCTTACACCTGCCAATACCCACAAAGGTGTCTATGTTTTCACACAGGCCCGTCTAATTACATATCAGCAGTTAAGATGTTTCTCCCCATTCTAGCCGCTTCTAAGATGCTAATGATCCTGGGAGTTTTAGCAGCCTGCTGCTGCAGCGTTTGAACCATTCCAGTAAGCAGCAACTTTGCAGGGACAAGGACAGAGGTAAGGTTTGTTTGTTTGGTTGGTTGGTTGGTTTTTGTTTTGTTATCAGTGGGCACCTTTGTGGAAAAAAGTTAAAACGATCAATTACATTAGGGGATTAACTGAACATGTCTATTATCCAATAGGATATCCATTATCCATTATGTATTTACATTTGTGTGTATGCCTTCCATTATGCATATGTATATTATTTCTTTTACATTTACTGTTAAGAATTTGTTTTTGTAGGTGAGCAGAGGGTCTCAGTGGCTACATAATGAGGGTCAGATATTGAGTACCCATGATGGTTTCTTTTTGTCCAAAGCCCCAGTACATAGGAACATTGTTCTGTAATGACACAGACAACCGACTGGCCCTCTGCCCATGTTCCCCCGGAATGAGGGTGGCATTCAACCTCAGTGGCAGTTTTTGTAAAAGTTCTTGAACAGAAAAGAGAAAAAAAATCAGAGCGAATTAAAAGGGATTTTAGGAGAAGTGTCCTCAACAAAAATCACGCACTGGGCCAAGCACGGTGGCTCATGCTTGTAATCCTGGCACTTTGCGAGGCCAAGGTGGGAGGGTCACTTGAGTCCAGGAGTTCGAGATCAGCCTGGGCAACATAGGGAGACTTCATCTCTATGAAAAATAAAATAAACAATTAGCCAGGCCTGGTGCTGTGATGGTGTCACTGCACTCGAGCCTGGGCAACAAATTGAGACCCTCTCTGTCCCAAAAATAAAACACTTTTTAAAAAAATCATGCACTGAGTCTAAACTACACAATCAAGCTTTCCTTCAGAAATTCTGAAAGAGCCAGACGGCCCTAATCCAATGCTTTAATCTAATGTTTGACTGCACTGGTTAGAATGAATTCTCTGGGTATATCCATTCTATTGTCTTCTCATTAATGTGTAACATTTAATTCCATTTTATTTAAAGCATGGAAGAAGAGAAGTGGACTTTGCTGACCATTTCCCTTCCTCCAGCCTTTCTCACTGTCTCACACAGGTGTCAGTGGTCATCTTCCTTTATCAACTGCTCACAGCCTGTGCCCACTCAGCTCAGAAACAATGATATCCTTCCTTGTGGTCCACATTGTCAGAAAGTCTGACTCCGTGGTGCCAGGCCCCGCACCATGGGTGCAAAACTTCTCTAAATTCCCAGGTTTCATTTTCGTAACTGGCCTTCTCTTCTACTCCATTGTTCAGTTACCGGGTATTCGCACCTTAAATGGCCTTGTCATTTCTCATTTTGCCTTCCCCCTGTACTCTTTCAACCCACCTCCTCTCTCTCTCTCTCTCTTTTTTATTTTTATTTTTTAGTCAGTGTCTCATTTTGCAGTCTAGGCTGGAATGCAGTGGCATGATCATGGCTCACTGCAGCCTCCAGCATCCAGGTTCAGGCAATCCTCCCATCTCAGCCTCCCAAGTAGCTGGAACCACAGGTACGTGCCTCTTCACCAGGCAATTTTTTTTTTTTTTTTTTTTTTAAGGGATGAGGTTTCACTATGTTACCCAAGCTGGTCTCAAGCTCCTGGCCTCAAGTGATCCTCCCGCCTCCACCTCCCAAAGTGCTACAATTACAGACGTCAGTTACCACGCCCCACTCTCACTCCTCCTGATCTTAACCTTCTTTCAAGACCCTGTTGCAAAGTCACCTCCTTCCCCAATCTCTCCACCCTTAGCCCCGAACTGCCAACCACTGGATCTTCCCTGTGCTCCCAAGCACATTGAATGCCTCCTTCTGAAACACTTACCTCATTCTCCTTTTGCCATATAACCTCTTCCTTTTTCCTGTTATTGAGAGAAATACGAAGTCTCTTAATCTCTAGTCTCCAACCCCGCCCTCACTCCCACACCCAGGCACTAAGGACACATTCACTAGGGCTAAAAACATGTTCGTTTATTTGAATGGCTGAATGGGGAATGAGCAGCCCAGCTTGCCGACTATTCTATACATTTAACAAATGTAGATGTAGTGAACAATCCTGGACTGAAAATTAGACATTTCTATGACCCACCTTCCCTAAAGGACTGGACACTCTTTCAACTCTGCCAGAAAGGTTAGATTAAGAACCAGCTTAGTGTCAATTCTTTACAAAAGAAGTAAAGATAAGAACAGAGAGATAACCTGCACAAGAGTTGAAGTTTAGAATGTATTACGGCCTTGGATGTCACACCTTGTGTGCGATGGGAAGGGATGCTTGCAGATCCGCTGATATTCGGAACTGGTTCTAGTAGTTTCAATATATGATTAGATTTGTTTAACTATTGTATTTTCAAAATGCCTCACACCATGTGTGGTGGAAGCAGAAATTGCACTGTGGTCACTGGAAGAGAACATGACTTTCTCACAGATTTCTGCCCTAGATGGTGGCCATATGAACCACCTGGATTATGTACCTCAGTGGATATTCTATGAGGTTCTTACCTCATCTCTTTAAGGTTTGTGGACAAGTATTTTGTCTATATCCTAGACATATAAAATAGGTTTTTTTTTTTTAAATAAAAATAAGAGACCTATAGTTATGTGACGGAAAGAATGGCCATGGAAAAGAAAGAATTGTACCAGAAGTGCTATGTCATAGCAATATGTGCTATGCTATATAGGAAATAAAAATACTGTCTGAGTTTCCCAATAGCCAAGGCAAAAAGGGAAACACTACAAGTTACCCTTATCTTATGATTTTTTAAAATAAACATTCCAGTTTTTCATGAGATGGGAGACTTTTTTCCTATCACAAAATTCTGGGAAGAACTTATCAAGTGAGGGATATAAAATAATATCATGGATACTAATTAAAGGTGGCTTTATAGAAAATAAAGAAATGCTTCTCAATGAGGAACTAAAGCAGTTCAAGTCTTATCCAGTTCACCATTTCCTAGAACACCTTGAAATTCATTCAAAGAAAGCTGACATGTTGAATAACAGGCAAATACTACCCGAAGAAAATGCACAATTAGCAAGAACAGAATGGATGGGATAGATTGAAGAGCAGAGACGGAAGTCTCCACCAGAAGGAGTGACAACTCGTTTTCAAATCAAAAGCAAAAGTGCAGTAAATGCTATCACTGGAGTGATGAAACTCAGCTAGAACGAATGCAAATACATTCCACATTTCTGTTTCTTTTCAGTAAGTAATTTGAAAAGATCAGTCAAATGTGTGTGACTAGCTACAGAAAAAAAAAAAAAAAAATTAAACAATTTGGCAGATTTGTTCCCAAGTCATGCCTACAATATTTTGACCCATGAATTACTATAGATATAAAAATGTTACTACTTGTATTATAAAAACACAACCTTGAGCAAATAGGAAGTTAACAAAATCACACTGAAATCTTCAATTTTGAAAACAGAAAATGATTGTCAACACTATTTGATAATGATATTCATAACCGCTGGGAACTACTCTAATAAAAAACTAACAATTATATGCACCTTCTTTGAATTTGCAAGCACTGATCTACTTACTGCAAATATAAAAGCCATTTCCCCCTCACATTTAATTTGTAACTTAGAATATTTATTTCAACCCCAGTAACTCCTTAATTTGCCCTATAGTAAGTCATTACATAATTACTCAAAATCTCCAAAATACAGACAAGTATATGCAAGGAAAAGGCATCACGGTATTCTTGAGACAGCCAATGACTTTTCTGAAGTTTTTTCTTTTTTTTTTTTTTTTTTTTTTGAGAGGGAGTCTGGCTGTGTCGCCCAGGCTGGAGTGCAGTGGCGCGATCTCGGCTCACTGCAAGCTCTGTCTCCTGGGTTCACACCATTCTCCTGCCTCAGCCTGCCGAGTAGCTGGCTAATTTTTTGTCTTTTTTAGTAGAGACAGGGTTTCACCATGTTAGCCAGGATGGTCTCGATCTTCTGACCTCACGATCCGCCCACCTCAGCCTCCCTGTGCTGGGATTACAGGCGTGAGCCACCGCGCCCGGCCATCTTCTGAAGATTTTTGAGCATTCAGTATAGTAAGAATTTTAATGATCTTCAGCTCCTCTTAGATCTAGACACAAATATGGAAATGTGTATTGTGCAATGCAAATGAACTGGAAATGGGTTCGGTGGAAGGTACTGCCATCCCTGTGATGGTTGCATTAACACCCAGCACCAAAAACTGCTCAAAAGGTAACACTCTTCCGTCATTAAAAGAGAACAGGCAAACTGCTCTAACAAAACAATAAACTACGTGTCCAAACAGGGGAAGTAAATACTTTTACATAACACAAGAGAGAATGGAGCTAGGGAGAAAAAAATGCAGGAATATGCCAGGCATAGTGGCTTATACCTGTAATCCCAGCACTTTGGGAGATCGAGGCAAGAGGATAGTGTGAGTCCAGGAGTTCAAGACCAGCCTGGATAACACAGTGAGACTCTGTCTCTACAGAATTTTTTTTTTTTTTTAATTAACCAGGCATAGTGGCATGTGACTGTAGTCCCAACTACTTGGGAGGCTGACGTGGGAGGATTGCATGAGTTCGGGAGGTTGAGGCTGCAATGAGCTACGATTGTGCCACTGTACTCCATCCTGGGTGACAGACAAGTCCCGTCTCAAAAAAAAAGAAATGCAAGAATAAATATGGGTACTTTACATTAGTAAAGGAGAATCTAAATGAGAGAGAAAAATAATTTGGCTGCTTTATTTGAGGGCTTTTATAGACAAGCTTTCTCAGAATAACTCAAGTTTCAAACATGGCAGCATATTCAAGTTCATTGTTTGAATCCCGTCATGGTCATGGAAAGATCGAAAAATTGGAAGCTCTTTGAAACAACAGTTACACTATTTTTCAGTGCAATTAAAAATAATGAGTAGGGAGGCCAGGTGCGGTGGCTCACGCCTGTAATCCCAGTACTTTGGGAGGCTGAGGTGGGTGGATCACCTGAGACCAAGAGTTCGAGACCAGCCTGGCCAACATGGCAAAACCCCATCTCTACTAAAAATACAAAAAATTAGCCAGGCATGGTGGCACACGCCTGCTAATCCCAGGTGCTTTGGGAGGCCAAGGTGGGCAGATCTCT